CAAAAGCATATGTTATGAATGGCTGAGGGATTTACAATTTTGAGATCTACAAGAACTAACTACCTTTGCGTCTCTCCGGTAGATCTACGTGTGAAAAGGTATGAGGATTCCGTTTACATATGCTTTCATGGGACCGACGACAATACTAATTACGCCACATACCTCCTTATCTTTTTTTTTCCAGCAATATATAAAGCATGTGGTGGTATGTGGAAGTTCAGCCAACTTTCCGCAAAAAAACTTTCCCAGAGAAATAACGCAAAATAAGGTATGTGTAAGCCAGAAGTTATGTATACATAGTAGCGAGTTTTTTTCTCACTATGGGGTTTGCTTTAGCAAAGAAAGCAAGATGTCTTCCAGCTCCACTCTAGCTGACAGGTTAGAAGGATACGAAACAGAAAGACTTATCAATTTTTTGCGGGAAGATTCCGAATTAAGTCATATAGAACTTGGTGATGGCTTTTTTACGAGACTTGAGGGGGAAAATATTACCGGTCATTTATTTCTCAAGTTAACCAGACAGGAATTTAGAGAATTCGGAATGGGATTGAGGCCAGCATTGGAGCTTGAGGACTACATTAAGAAGCTGTGTGAGTAATTTAGCCAAAAGGCGCTTTTGCATATCATTATAGCTGAAATTTATTGAGCGTTGTTCTTACTATCATTATCTTTGATAACAGATGATCGAAGAGCAAGAGTAAATTTAGGAGATGTTCTCGTTAAAAAATAGTATTTTTTATTCGTATCATGTGAAGCGAAATATTCGCAGTTTTATGTATTGTAAGCCGGTTACCGGCAACGTTTTTATTTCATAAATAAAGTATTACAAATCATTATTTATCTGACTATACAAGAAAGTGTTCCGAATTAATTTTACTCTGTTAATACAATCATAGCACTGATTTGCCCCTAAGAAGCTAGTAAGCTCATCAAAGTCGAATATACCTTTCGGGTCATTACTCTTTCGATTAATGACGATCATATAATTTAACTTTGCATCGTACGTATGATCATATTTTTCGAAATTTTGCAGTTGCAAATATTGCTTTGGATTGGTCGTAAACAGGCCTCTGGTTTTACGTCGATTGTTATGAGATGGACGATTACGAGTCATTGTTAAAGTTATTCAATACCAATTTCCAATTCAATTTTGAATACTAACATACAGAGCATAAATAATATTATATAGCAAGCATGCAATCCGAAATAGATTTATTGAGGCAACACTACACCGAGCTTGAGGTTAAGTATGCTAAGATCAAGGCAGAGAAAGCTGAGCTTGAGGCCGTGAATGCTGAGATTCCTGAACTTAGAAAGAAGTTCGCTGAACTTGAGGCAAAGAATGTCGAACTTGTGGATGAGAATACGAAGCTCAGGCAGGAACTTAGGAGCCGAATCAAAGAGTTGGAGAAGAGTAGGACGGATACTGATGTTGATAATGCCAGACGTGATATTGAGATTGCTGAGATAAAGGCTGAAGTAGTGAAACTAGCCGAAGGCGCGGTGGCAAGGGACAATAATGAAGAGAACAAAGAGCTAATTTCTCTTGAGGAGGTTGTCAATGCACCTTGCTCCGTTGCAGACCAACCCAATAATGCCGAGCAAAAGTGCCTCAATCCCTCTACACCTGTGAGCTGTCAGAAGTCATTGGAGGATGAAAAGACGGATGTTTTCATGGATGGGGTACATAAGAAAATAGTTAGTGATGAAATAAGGCAAAGGAATAGGGAGAAAAAGCTTCAGCGTGAGTCAGCCCATCTTCTCATAAATCCGAAGCCAGAAAATAACGAACCTTATTTATGCGAAGAAAAAGGTGATCAAGCCCTAGAGGGATCAGATAAACATATTTCATTCCAGGAAACCTCTCCTACCCCTATTGTCCGAAAAATACCATACAATCAGAAAGTTGAGCAAGGTATAATTCAGGAAGTGATCTCATTTATTCAAAAAAGAGCACTCACCTCATCAATTAACATCCTTGAGTCTCGAGAGATTGAAACGGTACCAGCTGATGGGGAAGGTCGAGATTTGGCTCAATTATTTTCCAATGCTAAAGTTGCGGAAGGTAGAACGTTAGAAGCTAAACGAAGAGAACTTGTATGCTGGTATAATTATAGCGAATCATATCAAAATAAGGTTGCAGAAATTTGCTCTAAAACCGGTGTAGCCGAAAAAATCGCAAAGTCTCAAGTTTACGCCATGATCAAGGCTTCTCTACCCAATGTTTCAGATTCAAATCTGTATAAGAAGACCGAAAGAGCTGGAAGTGTTTATAAGCTGTTCGGGAAGATTATCGATCCTGCAACCAAAAAAGAAGTTATGGGAATCGGTATCGATAAGGGAGTGAAAATGTTTTATTTTACTGAAGAGGGACTACCGTTATTCCCGAAGGTCACTCCTCAACAATTGCACGAAATTTTCGTAAAAAATTTGGCTGGTACAGACCAATGCCCATGTCTAAAACAGGTTAGCTAATCTATATTTTTTGTCGCACAGGGTATAACCCAACAAAAAATCTTCCGTGCTGATCACTAATCCAGGTTAGTTAGATCGGTAGAGTACCACCATTCTGGGGCTAATATTCTTTCACCAGCTCTATGTCGCCGACGTATCATAGATAGAACCGAATTCTGAAGGCAAGCTAGAGTCTGTCTACTAGCAACGTTGTTCTGTGTAAGATGATTTATAACCACTCCAATGAAATCAGGGGGAGATAAAGTTTCCTCGAAATTCTCAACATGGACATTTGGATTAAGTGAAACGAGCTGATCTACGGCTTCTTTGCTAATTTTATAACACCCCCTTAAATTAAGATATTTTAATTTATGACATGATCTAGCGATTTCTTCGATAGTTTTATCAGTAATTCCACAATAGCTAAGGTCGAGTTGCTGGAGCATTGGGCAAGGACGAATAACATTACAAATTGATATTTCAGAAAACCCTGTACGATTAGAGATATTTAGATATTCTAGTCTGTGGCACGATTGTGCGATTGCATTTAGACCTATATCATTTTCTGGCTGAAATCCTTCGCATAAAGCGGATATATTGAGATACTCCAAATTTGGGTATGATTTTGCTATTAGCTTTAGAGTTTTACCACTACGGTCTGTACTTCCTTCGAAATCTAAATGAACTATATTTCGAAAAGTATGCACAATGCCTTTGATTTTTCTAATAGAAAGTCGGTAGTGTGTTATTTTAAGATGAGTTAGTTTCGAGCTATAAACCGGCTTTCTTCCTCCTCCGGGTACTATTTTTAAAAATCTTTCTAATCGAGTTCGATTCTCTACTTCCCCTCCCTTTAGCTCTATGCGTCTCCATAAAATAGGGGTACCGCATCTGTACCACAATCGGGAAACAAATAGAGCGGGGTAGAGAGATTTATCTATCAATAAAAAATGTAAAATCGGTTCTAATAGTTCTGGTATACTAAAAATGCTTGAATGCGCCATAAATAATAAATCTGTATCTTTAAACAAAAAAATAAAATTATGCGATCACTGCTTCAGATTGGCATTTATTTCTGAATTTCAGCTAACATTGCATCAATTTCAGCTAACATTGAATCCATTTCCATAGTCTGAGACTTTTGAGGGTCAGGTTGGGGTTTTAAACCATTTGCCTCAGGAACAGATTCAGATTCATGATCAGATTTATGGTCAGATTCAGGACCATCGTCTTCTGACTCAGTATCACCCATAGCATAATTATCACCCGCATCAAGGTGGTCAGATTCTTGCCTTAATGCGATTCTCGAAAGCAGTTTAAGATGCTGGGGAGTTGGATTCTTACCACCATGAATTCTGGAAGCGTGTTTACTTCCATAATCTCTT